ACTATGACCAGTCTTTTATTTCTTAGATGCTTTTGGGGAGGGAGGGAGGGTTGGCTTTTCTTTAATAACATTGTGCTGTTTCTTATTCTCTACCTGTACGCGTTTATCAACCTTCGTAGGATTAGCAACCACTGTCACATCAAACACACTGGCGGATCCTGGATGATTGTCGATGTCTTGGGTAGTCAGATTGTTTTCCCTGCTAGAAACTGACCTAGTCAAGCGATTGGGTTTTCTAGATTTTCCCTGCTCACCGCCATTTAGAGGCCGGGTGACAGAAGCAGCTTACTTTTTTAGGCTTTTATTTGTGACAGTATCACTTGATGCCAGTCATTCTTCCTTTGATCTATATAAGTCAATCGATACTGAGCTTACTTGATTTGGCTATCGGCAGAGTGGATTCTGTTTGATATGCGTCGACCGCGTTCGCTAATACTGTTTTGAGTGACATTTAACATTCAATTAGCCTCAGTTAGCAGGCGTTTTGCCCTCAAGCGGTACTGCTGCCTGAACCACACATTCGAAATTATTGCGCTACTGGCTTCTTGTGTCTCAATTCCAAGGTCTTGTTATCTCCAATTTCAGTCGATTGCTTTCATTCTAATATGTAAGTGCATCCCATAAGGCTACTAAGTTGTGGACTCACTTTTTATCCAGATTATTTCATAATCTTTTAGCATACAAAGTACCTTCATGCTAAATCGAAACTTAGAAGTTTGGATATATCCAAATCTGAACCTTAAAGAACTACATCTAGATGCTTTGTCGTTTGTTCTCAGTAATTACAGATCCACCGTCTGTCCGATTAATTCCAAGGCACACTTAACAGCCAACAAATAATGTTCCATAGTCTTTTCGTCTCGTACGATTCCGTGGTAAATCCTGAAGAGTGGGAATGCCCCACCCCAAGAAAATAAAACCAAGTGCTTCGCGGCTCCATGTTTCTGCAAAGTCGGTAGCCGCATGAGAACCGTCGGGTGCGCATCACTTTTTTTCCCCACACCGTAATCTTATGCTTAGTTATCTGCCTTATCATGAATTCCCCCTACGTATATCTTAGATGTCTAGTCGGCCTTTTTACGAGACGGAGTTGTCCAACTCACCTTTGCCTGGCCTTGCGACGGGCAGTAACTCCAGAAGAACTATAGGCCGCGTTTGGGGAATCCCCTAAACCATAGGGTCTTGTGCCACTTCCCAAAATTAGACAAAACGTTTACCGAGATTGGGTGGTTCCACTTTATATCTTTGAAAGCCTTTGCAATTTATGGTCTATTGGTTAACAATCATCCAATGCAAACCCCCATATTCTTGGAATCCAAAATTAGTTACACAGGAAACGTCTTCTGCATTCATCTTATCCTAAGCAATCCTTCCCGCAGTATATTCATAACCCCTTAGTATCGTGTTTTCTTTGCAGTGAAGCTCTTCACACGTAAATATCTGGAAGTGGCCCACGCAGCCATACATTACTGGTGACCTATCAGTAAATTTGTGACGTAATTTTCGGACTCACTGCTTCTCCCCTTCGAATATCACTGCGATGGTCGAACCACTTAACCCTAGTCAGTTCTCCAAAACACTATTAATTGTTTGATGTTGGAATCTCTTTCGGAAGGGCGACTGTCGGATGGTCCATATATTTCTAAGTACTAAGCCTGCTCTAGATGGCTTCTTGTAGAAGTAATTTTGTGGCGTTAATTGTGATTTTGATTACCACCGTCATACTCCCAGTTCTATTCATAGTAAAACTGAGACGTTAATGATACAGTGCTGATAGGGTTTACTGCCGGATGTTTAGCGCAGTAACTAGGTTGCTTTTTGACATGTTAGTATCACAGGACATTTTAGATTACATGACCACTAGACGTTGGTATAAAACGGTCTCGGAAAGTTACACTCGCATTCCTATCCATAAACAATATTGAGCAACCAAACTAAAACGGGAAAACTGACAGTCAAGGCAAATATGTCTAACTAGGAGTGTTGATAGTAGTAACCTAATGTAGCGTAGTGAGATTCACTGTCAAATTCTGAGAGCAGTAGACAGATGTTCCCAAAGTCTTGCTGCTAGTGAGTTAGGTATATTATAACAGATTTCGATGACTCCCGCTGTCAAAGCAAGCCAATGTCTTAGAAATTTATTTAGTCCCAATTGTTAAGTGTCCTTTGTATTAGCATTGTCAGTGGAAATATTAAAACAACCTCTTCAACACATCCAAAAATGGCCTCGGATGATTCTTCCCGAGTACCCAGTTAGTATCACCGCCCCTTACATGTTAATTGTGGGTAGAACTGTAAGATGTGAAGGTATCATTGCCAAGGTTTGACTTGATAATTTCGAACAAATTGAGAATTAGATAGATTGTTATAAATGAATTGACTCGGTGTAAGCCACTTTAGAAAATAAACAAGATGTGCATTTACGCTTTGTTGAGGATCTAGACTTACGGAAACGCCAAACGCTGCTTCGATTTTAGCTCCGCAGTCATGTGACTTTTGAAAGCACTCCGTATATCTCCTAGAAAAAACTAATACATGTTAGAACGTTTAGAGCAGACCCAAATGCCCTGGTACAGCCAAGAGTGGGAAGAGTCATCTCTCCCTCTCGAAATGCTCTCACATGGCCACGTGCATATAACTACTACCAGGAAAGTCCTACTCACTGCCTTCTCTCACCAGGGTGTTGTTTTCGGGATTGAGAAGACGAAAAGCGAATGTCCATCTTAACTGGGTTGATGGACACGGACGGCCTACCAAACTAATGACGTACATGACCTCCAGGATCACGAGGGAACAAACGGCGTATGAACCAATTATTGGTCACCGGCTACCATGGGACTACATCTCCTTACATTGACCCACTACCTTGTGGATTGAACCTCCAGGTCAAAGGCTCTGGGTGTGGCCCCCTAAGAAAATAGCTTGCTTCGGTTCGGGCACCCGGACAGTACCTCAGCTTTCACACAAATCGAGTGATTTATGTGGCGCATATGTATTTGATGCCTTCCTGTACTAATGTTTGTGTTTAAATAAATAATAAAATAAATAGAGCAGCTCTTAGAAAACCGGTTATAAAACACCTATCGAGAAATCAAGTAAGTTCTAACTACTTTATATAGATATAAACAAGAAGCAACACTAGTTGGCCTGCCATCGTGCAAACCGAAAACTAGACCCCTGAATTAAGTAATTTCTAGAGTAACTAGTCTTAAGTTTCGCATTGTCATACACATGTAAATCTCCGTTTACAACTGAGTTAATAACTATTTGGTAACAACGCTTTATATGACTAGGACCAGTTTATATTAGATATGACCTTTGTTTTTAATTGACCAACAGAGATAACACTGGCTAACCAACCGGAATCAAATGCTCTTAGGTTGATTACTTTTATAAATACGTTTAGTTACGATTTTAAACTAATCCTCTACATTAACTCTTAGTTTCTGCAGGGAACTATAGCGCGATATGTTCTGGTCTCAACTACTACGATGTACTGACTATTATTTTGAAACTTTTAGACCATACTTAGTCAGTCAGTCAGTAACAACGTAGAACTTCGTACGTACGTACATCAGTTCGAGTTGCCACACCATACTTACTACCTGGTAGTTTGCAAGGATACTCTTCCTATGATTTGGGCACCTGGACGGCATTACAAATTACAACGTATTTACAATAACTCCGTCTGTAGATAACAAAAACTCGTTTCACTTGTTATCAATGGTACGAAAGTAAGCGATACACCTAGCTACCATTGTATCACAAACGCTAACGAGATAAAGTACTATTATTATCCAAGGAACTTTGTGGTATTTATTTGAGACTACACTGAAACAATGAGTAAGTATTCCAAGTGGTAAATCACTTGTGAGCCTTTGTTAATCAAATTATATAAAAATCCCTAAACGCCACTTACATCTGTTAACACAATAGACTGAAATTTGTTCAATGTACCTGGCCCTATGTTTTAGCTGGCTGACTGAATTTAATAAGGTCAAGACATGACTTTGTTCCAACTAGCTATTGACTATCGAGTTACATCTTGTACGTGGGTACACGACCTTGCTGTGATCCTCGAAACATCCTTAGCCATGGGTTGAAGAATTATCAAGATAGCTTTACGTCGACAATATCGGCACTAAATCCTCTATCGTTTTTCTCCCCTTGGTTTCTGAGTTTTAATATGTTCTTCGGGATCACTTCGTTCATGATTAGCCATTACTGATGACAGCATTCGCGCGACCATTGCGTATTATCTTGGGGGCTTTCTCCTACTATGTTTATTTAAGGCACTAGCTGATATGTACTGCCACCGTTCTAAATATTTGACAAAAAAGTTCCACAGGCTAATACAATATAAGTACATTAGCGTTTCCCCCATCCGTGTTTGACTAATGCCTCATTCTTTAAAGTTCTATTGAGCGTCATATTTAGTGTTCAGTTCTGTAATTAAAAAAGGACCTTCCAGTTAGTCATGAGTAACGTAAACTACATGTATGTATGGGTTGCCACACAACACTTAAGTAATAAGGGAGTTAGTGTATTTCTTCACCACGACCAATTGTGCTGTCTCATGTAGTATTAAATATACATATATCATTAACTTAGTAAATACAGTACAAAATTAATGGATTATGTGAACCTAGTTATATGTTTACATACGCTAAATCCATTATTTTACTTCTATACATTTCATTTTCAGACATAATTAACAATGATAATACCAATACGTTGTTTTACGTGTGGAAAGGTTGTTGGTGACAAGTGGGAGAGTTACATTGGTTTGCTTCAAGCTGAATATGCTGAAGGAGATGCTCTGGATACCCTGGGTTTGAGACGTTACTGCTGCCGACGCATGCTTCTTTCACATGTTGATTTAATAGAAAAGTTACTAAACTATTCACCTTTACAAAGATAAAGAACTGTAACAATTTAAGGAAATTATATACTAAAACTTGAAATCAAATAAAAAGTAACATGTTCATACATCTGGATGTTTAATTCCCGTAATACCAACGCCGTAATGCATCGAAAATTCCTGAAGACTTGTTTTCCGATTGGTATTCTTTCATGGATGGGCTTGGGTCCATAATTAGTAAACCTACAATAAACATCAAGACAGTCTATCTAAGAATTAAAATGCTTAACGACCTGGTGCCTAACAGGATAACATATTAATACATTATTTATACTACAGGTCAAAATTTTTCATTGAAATAAACTGTCAAACTTATTAGTAGCTTGCAGTACACCGCAGCCGTCGCTTAAATTTTAATGAAGTTATAGGAAGCGGTTCCTGAACATATGAATTTTCCTATTCGGAAGGCTTTAACCTTTTAAGCTTCCATTCATCAAGACTAGGATATCTAAATTAGACCACAAATACTAAGTACAACTTCCGAAATAGGGTGTAAACTTCTGCCGCAATCAAATATTCACTTGCCTTGCGGCACCTTTTTGTGCTCGTTAGGTGTTTCTAAGGCAAGGCTTTTAACTAATCAGCCTCTGAAGGTCAAAACGACACCGGACAAAGTTGCTTTAAATACTTTGCGCGGAATTTGAGTGATGTAAATTGCAGTTAAGGTTGTATCAATAGACAACGTCCATAAAGCGTATATGAAGTGATTCCAACCAAAAATCCCTAGGCACCGAACTTAAGTTATGGTGAGGAAACCGCTATGTAGCGAGATTATTAATGTGGAAGTTGCTCACAGGATTTTGTCTTATTAAAAGCTGATAAGCACCCACCTTACAAAACCATGAAGAGTGACTTGTCCTTTCGTCTTATCCCATATTTGTGTGAAATGATAAGTATTACTGACAGTTTGTAGAGTAGAAAGTATACTGCCAGGTACTATTGGAACATATCGTAAACCATTTTAGCGTTAGGCTACGTGTAACGATTCCACTAGGCATTGTTGAAAATAACATGTTCGCTAGTAAACTGAAGTCACAGAGTATTTGGGAAATCACAAGTGTCATCTTTAAAATTTTAATCACATCTACTTAAATAACCATGTGAACTGGAAGAGTACATGAACAGAACTTCACCTTCAGACCATTCAACTTTATGATCATTTGGTTGACCATCCAATTATGCAAATATTACAAATCAGACTACGTGGTGAGTTTACAGATACTGGACTATAAAGCAACCAACATAGTATGATTACTAATCTGCATAACATTTCATAAGGAAGTTGGACATACTAAAGCACTCAAGTGGAAATTGAAATTTGAAGACAATGAATTTAAGGACCTCTCACCTTCACTATTCGCAGTTTGGGACTGTTGACCGTCAGGTCTCATATAAATAACATGTTTCTTTTCCCCATCACATGACCGTTCAATCGTGGTATGAACTTCAGTACCATCTGGTTCACGAACCACTCTTTTTTGTAACTCTTTCACTTCCTATAATCTCCAAAAAAGTACATATCGAGACATAAATTTGACTGCATCAATCAATAGTTTCAAAAGTAAGCAATAAAATCACTGACGAAACTTCACACAACTGATGAGGTAAAAAGATATTCGTATAAACAGTTACACTTTTACATTCAAGAACTGAATTATAAAACTAACTGCAACTAAACGATTTTGCGTGTCATCCTTGCGCAGGGACCATGCTAATCTCTGTATCGTTCCAATTTTAGTAAATGTACCGCCGAAACGAGTAAATGGAACTAGTGTTTCTTAGGTTTTGACTAAAAAATGGAACAATTATTGCACTAAACAATGTCAAATATGGAATTTCTAGAGTATTATGTTTAAATTTACTATTATATTCAGGACTAGCCGAGTATTTCTTCAAAAAATATTACTTTCCTATAGGATTAATTTGATCTCAAGAGCGATTATATTTTCCTGCTCTTTTAGTTTCAAGTGATACACCAGGCTATGAATAGCTAATAAGCTTAAAAGTTATCAGCGGTGACTCAGGGAGGGAAACTCGGTGTACATCAACAGACTTTTAAACCGACGAAATCTGTATTAGATAATCAGATATACATTAATTATGCTAAATAAATTGGTTTTAAACATCGAAACTTACGCCGTTATTTACTATGAGCTTTTTGCTGGTGAAAGAACTGACCCAACTGCGTACTGATGAGTCACGCTTCTCAGCGTACGGGGCATTAGCTGGTTGACCATCAATGATAATGTCTCCTTTTTTAAAGTCAGGAGGATCTATTTGCCTCTAGAATTCAGAGTATCAAATGAATTAATGGTAGACAAATAAATTAACCCTCTTGAGTAGTTAAATAAACTCAATAGTTTAAATAGGAAATATACCTTAAGCCGAAAAAAGGCTGACTAACTGTTCCGATTACTTCATTGGGACAACTACTGAAAATGATAGCCTGTATTATAAAATGTGACTACACATTATGGTGTTATATATATAAATTCACGAACTTACTTTCTCTGTGATAGCTTATCGAAACTTCTGTGGTCATTTTTAATACCATCTACTATCCTGACATACAATGGTCCCAATAGGACTTTATTCATAATAACCTTCTTACAGCACATTTTACACTACAAGTTTCCTTGGGACACAGTAGATACTTAGGATAAGCTCGACAGTGTCTTAGTGGTCATCAATGGGTAATTAGTCATAGTGCATCAAAAATTGAAAGCCACAAGGCACCTTTACATTTATTGGAGCAAGTAACTGTGTGGGACAGTAGGCACCTTCATGAATAGTCGACTACAACCAAGTAGAGGAAAAAACGAAACCTATTTTGGTAACATGCTCCATAGTTTGTCCTGACTGAGTAGAGCATAAAATTCACGATTACCAACTCGAACTACAATTACTAGTACTCCAACTACTGTGAGTTTTATTACAACTTATGTCGGCTGAATATCGGTACAACCAAAAACAGCTAACTTCCTAATTTAAACAATATGCAGAACAGTGATAGCCTGAAGGTGACGTTGTAATGGATTTTGCAAAATTCTCAAACTAATACCTATACCAACAACTAATTTGAAGGACAAAGGGATGTTAATCAGTTTTTAAAAATTCTGTACGACCTCACTGGGAGCGTTGGATTTTATTTTTTCCCTCGCTTTAGAGGGAATTTGGACTTAAAACATAAAGCAGTTTCTGATATTTCCCTCTGCACTACAAAAAAAACCGAAAGCCTTCGAGTAATCTCAAATATTTCCAATAAATTTAATTATTTATTCACGTACTTGTTAAGCTTTAATCTTTACACTATTACTAAAAATATTCGGAACCTAGAATATTATGGAGAAAATCTTATATGACTTCCAGCAATTCGCCTTTTACTAAAATATTTAAAGCATTTCTAACCTGTTCTTTAGAGAACTCAAAATAAGATTATGAGTTAGCTCTGTGAATATGACAATCCTAGGATGTAGAGTACAACTCTTGATTAGATAGTAACTGTTAGCAAGACAGAGATAGGATTGAAGCATGTTCCATGCACGATTGCGTTGGTGCACGCTGAATGGCTAATTCTTATCCAGTCAGCACTAGACGACACTTGGAGAAGACTCTGGAATCCCGTGTAAAAGCTATAAATATACTAACGTTTTCCTTATTGTACTTCTTACTTCCATATACACTTGTTATTTGGAATATAATTTATTCCTGTTTAACCGTGTTCTGATTCGGGGACTCGTCGAGTGTATTGGTGTTCAAGAATACTAAGCAATAGGAATAACTGGGTCGTAATAAGAGAGAAATATAACAGTAACTGGCAGTTACTTCGATAGTGTCTTTCGGAACGGTCGTTTGAAAGCTACGAAGACTATCAAGCGTTGAAAGTCAAAGGCTCGAGGTGTGACCCCCTAAGAAAAGCACCTGCGTCGGTTTGGGCACCTGTGCAGTATTACAGCCTACACACAAATAAAATGAAAATGACAATATTTACTGAAAGTTCTATTCATGCTTCGATTTACAGCCAAACAATTCACATTATTATTATTATTTACCACGTCACTTATTCACTCTCTTTTATTTCCACTTTGTGTATCCTTATTTTTCGACTTATACAGCTGTTCACCCATGGTGGAAACTCTGTTCTATCTAAACGATTTCGAGTCACTGACTGGTTAAAAATTGAATGCTACCACTGAACACGAATATTGAAAGTTTTTCTGAAACCACGTGCACCATTCAAACTGGCTGCCTTCAACGTTCACACACTAATTGAGGTCAGACAACAGATAGGGCTGGCTATGTCTTTAGAAAGTCTTAATATCGATGTTTGTTGTCTATCCGAGACCCGTATTCAAGACTCTGGTGAAGTACTACAAATTCGATCTCCATCTGTCGCTTCAAAAAGCTTGTTTCACGTGCGTTTATCCGAGGACCCAGTGGTATCTTCGTCTGGTCCTGCTGGCGTTGGTGTCACATTAAGCGCTAGAGCTGAGGCAGCACTAACCGATTGAATCCCCATTAACAGTCAGTTATGTGCTGTTAGATTAGAGAGTTCCATCAAAGTGAGGAGAAATCGGCGTGAGAAACAATGTTTTTCGTCATCTCAGCCTAAGTCCCGACAGATTGCAGCCTGGATGCAATCAAGGATGAATTTTACCACCAGTTAACTGTTCTTCTCCAGAAAGTGCGTTCGACAGATATTGTAGTACTAGCCGGAGACATGAATGCTCAGGTCGAGCGTCTAGGCACAGAAGAGTCGTTTAGGTGGCCAATGGGGACTTGTTGGTCGCAAGACAGATAACGGGGACTGTCTACTGCAACTGTGCACAGATCACAACCTATTTCTGGCCAGCACTAACTTTCGGTACAGTCATAGCCGATGTACCACCTGACGTCCTCCTTCTGCATCTCAGGCCTGGACTCAGATTGATCACATCGCGATCAGCTACCGCTGGCGTGGTTGTGTACAGGACTACCGCTCCTTTTGGAGCACCAATCTGGACTCTGATCATGCCCTGGGCTGCGCCAATCTTACCTTACTTTTCAGTGACCAACGAATTGATCGTCACTAAAGGATTGATGTTAGCAAGTTGGTTGAAACTTCTGTTGCTAGCAAGTATCGAACCGAGCTAGCTTCTAGGTTAGCTACCATTCCACCGAAAAGCATAGATGAGCATTGGTTGCAATTGCATGACGCCATGAAAATGGCGAGTACAGTCAGTTGCGGCTTCGCGAAACATCCCGATTATAAGCACTGGGTTTCTTTAGGCTCCTTACAACTCATCGAATCCCGTCGGTCTACTCCGGGTGACCGTGAGTTTGATCACAAACGAAGGATGTTACGTAATGAAATTGGGCAAAGCTTGCGTAAGGACCGAGAAGCCTGGTGGTCGGAGCGTGCTCAGTCAGTCAGTAACAACGTAAAACTTCGTACGTACGTACATCAGTTCGAGTTGCCACACCACATTAGTACACAGATACAATCGTCAATTCAAACCCCGTAGTGGTAGAGGTGATAAGAGTATAAGCAGTAATCGGGAAAATTAGTGTTTGGAGATGTTATATAAAGAGTATAATACAGTGAAATAAATTTGGGAAGAGAAAAAAAGAGACAAGGAGGAATAAGGAGATCAAAATTTGGGAGAACACAAAGAGTGGATACACCTGCGCCATTGCAAACGATGTTGAGCCATGTCATTCAAGGTCTCTAACCATCGGCTGCTATCATCTCGTGGTCCCCAACCAGGTAGTCTACACCTACCAACATGACTCAGTCTACTTGTCAGTGACTTCATGGACTTGTGCCATGTTTTGGTCTGGCCGCCCCTAGCTTTCTTTCAACCTACTCCTAAACCACTGAACATCGCACGTCGAGGCGGTCGGTCGTCGGGCATACGTAACACGTCTCCCAGCCACCTCAACTGATGAAGATTTACTACGTCATCAATTGATTTGGCATCCTTACCTAGTACCCGTTTCCTAACAACTGCGTTACTTACTCGATGGTCCCAGGATATACGAGCAATATTTCGAAGACACTTATGATCAAATACTAGTAACCTACGAATATCCTCTACTCATACCGGCCATGTTTCACTGCCATAAAGTAGGACGGAACGAACTGCTGAACAGTAAACCCGTCCTTTGGTTAATAGACGGATAGTTGGGCGTCGAAGTATTATTGAAGCTAATATTTTAGACACTATATTTGTCAAACTGATTCCTCTGTGATTGTCACAAGAGGACTTTTGTCCTTTGTTATAGACTGGCACAATCAGTGATTGAGACCAGTCAGATGGGATTACTTCCAGTTCTCAAATTCTACGTAACACCTCAGTTAATCTCACTGCTAATACTGAACCACCATCCTAAGAAATCTCAGGAGTAAACCTGTCAGGGCCTGCTGCTCTTCCTCGTTTCAGATTTCCTATGGCTTTTTCAACTTCGTAAAGAGACGGAGGACCTACATTAACTTGCCATTCAGGTTGACTGGAGATCGTGGGAAACCGAAGTGTGGCTGAAGGCCAGTTGAACTGATCCCTAAAGTGTTCTGCCCATCCATCCAATCTCCTGGATTGAGAATGTTTAACATGTCCATCTTTCGCTGAGATTGTTTCACTAACAGTCGGTTTCCTTAACAAGTCTGAACAATTGTCTGCTATTACCTATTGCCGCTGCCTTTTCCATCTCTCTTGCTTTCGCTACCCACCACTGTTCGCGATCATTGCGTAGACTTCTTGTCCGCTTGTGCTTAAGCTGACTCCGCTCTTTATTATGTTCAGAGCCAGGTGGAATGAGTTTCCGAGCATCTATCAGTGAGATAGATGCTGTTGAGATCCAGTGTTGCTCCCTAACCTTCTGGTTTACCTTACTAGCAGATATCACTGCTGTTTCCACAGCTTTTCGGATATCATTCCATGCTGCATCGAGGTGGGCATCACATACATGGCTGCCTAACTGTTTGCCTAGTTGTTCCTGAAATATACTCTTAGCTTGACTATCATTAAGTAGGCCCCTAAGAGGTTTCCTTGCAGCGTCTTTCCTACGTCCAGTAAGACGCAGGCAAATACGCGCTCGTACTAGAGCATGATCTGAGTCTAAGCATGTGCTACAGAATGAGCGACAGTCTTCTATCGAACCCCTCCATCTGTGGCTGATAGCGATGTGATCTATTTGGGTCCAACGTTGGGACGAATTAGGGGGTCCCCATGTTAAAAGATGTTTTTCCTTATGCTTAAAGTTAGTCTTTGCAAGGAACAGGCGGTTATCTGAGCATAGCTGCA